TATTTATTGAGTTCAAGAACTGTTTATCGTAATAATACGTTATCAATTAAAGCAAAGCATGCGATTCATGCCCTAAATTTAAAGCTTGGATGGTGGTACCGTGTCCTAACATATCGGTGCATGGACCAGGCTAAATAATGCCGCCTGCGTTGATCTCTCGATACGCCGATCGTGAGTCCCAGTCTTTTTCTCGGTTGAAGTAGTCCCACTCACGGGTACACTACTGTCAGTGTCGGTCGGAGGTTGCGACATGGCAGACTTAAGTCCATCATGCGCCACCTACGTAGTTATCGTAGGAGTGGCTTGCAATGCCTGTTCACTACGAGCTGCCGTCTTCAATCTCCTAACCGGACAGGTGCGCTTGTTATACGCCCTAGGCCGGCTTAGGGTCACTGTCCGGTGATCAGAATCAGAGTCGTCCGATGAATCGGACAGCAAACTCCAGCATGGTTGCTCACTGCTGTAGCTGCCTGGCTCAGGCTTAGCCGCCCGAGCCGAACGCACGAACGAAGCAGGCTTCGGTGGGCGATGCCCCATGGTGGGCCATGCTATAATATCGTCACTGGAAATGTCCGAATCTGACATTATATCAGGACACTCGTCATCATCCGTGAACACTTCAGACGTCGAGTCCACACTGCTGTGTTGCTGCGGATGAGAGTGCTTTGCAGAGTCATCACTATCCATAGAATGGTCTTGACGCTCATTGGCTCCACCAGCACACGCTGTACATGCCGACGTGGTTTATGTCGCTTCTTCATCGCCTTCTTTCCTCGGGCACGGGGCTTCGGCTGCCGAAACCCAAGCAAAAGCTTGACCTGTGGACTCAACGGAACATCCGTGTCCTTGAGCCACGACCACTTAATAGCTGACTGGGGTACCAAGACCAATTCATCATGTCGCCACATGAGCGCCCAGCTAGAGTGGCGCATCTGATCATACCCAATGAGGATATCACAACCCATTGGTATATCGTCCACCACATAGAAGGGGTGGCCTTCTGCTAAAGCATACGCCCCCCAAAGGATGACCATATACGCCTCTGAATCATCCCACGGCACCTAGTACTTGGGCTATATAGTTCCCATGTCATCAATGCCTTGGAGTGGTGGCCCTACATACCTAGTCTTAGCTGTTACCCAGAATCCGCATACGCCCAAGTGCGCACAGCACCAACTATGACAGAAACCACCACCCCATTTCACTTGCGACCCGGCGTTCTTGTTGAAGCCGCCCCTGCTGACCCTCCATATCTAGGGCATTCTGCTGCCGTGTGGGTAGTATCATGACAGACCGTACAATACATATCCCCTTCAGACTCCGAAGATACAGAATATGCACCCTTACCCCCACGACTTCCTCTCTGCTGGTCACGTCCACGATCGCGACTGTGCGAACGCGAGTTGAGAGACTACAGGTCTCAGGCCAGATTTTGCAGCAAGAACCCCATCTTTGATTCATGGAAGTCGTCAGAGTTAACTCATCCCCGAGAGCGAAGTCATCAGAGTTAGCTCACTCCCGAGAGCTAATCAAGTTGCTTAAATTACCCCCAAGAGTTGAGTTATTACTTAACCGACTTCCGAGAGCAAATTAAGTTTCTCAACCGATTCCCGAGAGTGGATTAAGCCTGTCAACCGCAACATTCTAATAATAGCTGCGGTTCTATATGAGTCACAACCTATGCGGAAAGGCTTCATGTGATCAGCGTGAGATATAGTTGCAGAGAAGTTGAAATAGAATAGCATCGAAGTGTTAAAGTGTTCTGCATAAGGTTTCTCATACTGACCATATGAGTTTTAACCCTGGTCAGCCCAAGCGGTTGAACATTAGCACAAACACCTTGGGTATAAAACCAAAGGTAAGGTCAGAAATAAATACATACATTTGCACTTTATTTAAGTCTACTACAATGCACTCTAACACGAGTACTTTTTCCCACGCCTATCCTTACTAGAGCGTGAGTTGGAACGCCCGCGATCGGATCCAGCATCTTCCGATTCTGAATGACGACCCCGTCGTTTCCAGGGCTTAAAATAACGCCAATTCTTATCCTTAGAGTGATAATTCTCGGGTGTACGCTCCCGAGGGGATCTAGAGCGGGATGTTGAACGCCGATTTCCGTCACGTTGTTCCTTCACCTGCTTCTTACGATCCTGGCGAGCTTGGCGAATAAAGTAGTTCAGCTGCGATTTGCCCCCATTGCCATTACAACCTCCTTGGTTGTCACCATTACCCGCCTGGTGGTTGTTGCCATTCTACGGTTGCTTCGGCTGCTGGTTACCCTTACGGGCGTTCACTTTAGTACCAACCCCGTCCTCAATCTTGCCAAAATCGAACAAAGATGCACCATAAAGCGCCCACGACTGCTGGTGCCAACTAAGCAAGCGTGTCGGGCCTTGCTCAGAAAAACCCGACACAGAGAGAACATGCTGCGTGTTCTTAAAAAATATAGAAAGCAATAATTCAACAGTCGCAATCTGTTCTTTCACCTCGAACTTAACTTTCTCTAATAGCGCAGGCTCAGCAATAGCCTGCGCTAACAAAAACTTACTTATGTTGTCGTTCACCATAGCGAGCGCAGCATAAGCTTTGTTGGAACCATTCCTCAGCACCATGCAGAAACGAGACACCTTCTCAGGCATGCCTGTTGGCAGGCGAAGCACCGCTAAATCAACGGCTCGTGACGCCCGAGAGGTCAAAGGGATCCCATCTAGTGATCTCAATCTCGCTGTCGTGGAGCCCTTAGCTGAAGATTCCGAAGTACTCACCGCCTCTAAACGCTCTGCATAGAACCGACACGCTTCTTCCGCCATCACTCGACGTGCTTCCTTTTGCACCTGTTGCCGCACTGCCTCGTCCTGCTGAAATTTCGCCCATTGCGCCTTTTCAGCGTCAGTTTGTGGGGCATCTCCATCCTCTGTTGCTGTTCCTGGCACCCCAGAGTCTGACTGAATTGCCGCAGGATCCGAGCGCACTATTGGCCTCGATAAAGTAGGTGGTTCCGGTTCTGCCGAAGCATCTGATGCCGCCGACCGTCCACCATCATTAGGCGTAAGCAAGTCTCCATCACGTTGCCCTGCCAAAACCACAGCCGTGCGATCTCGGGCTGTCTCAAGCCCCGCACCAGAAATGCGAGTTTCTACATCATTACGCGACAATAAGGTAACACCTGGTTCCCCTAAGAAGCTCTCATTTTGGGCTACCATCGTATCCCTGAGAGATGCCACGAAATTGTCTGCAGAAAACTTCTCTGTTGCCGCCGCAGTCTGCGCATCGCGAGACTCCGCTAAAAATACTTTGAGCGATGCCCTAAGGGCCATGTACGTCAATAGTTCGTCCAGCGCATGAAAAGTAATCTCTGGATCCTTTCGCAAAGCTCGTGCGAAAACCGCCACTGCTGAATGTGACGTATCTCTGGTGAGGTGCCGCCATTCACCCGCATGCTGGGTAGCCATCGCGACTAACCACACGTGGTTGCCCTGCATGCCTGGTAGCATATCTCGTTGCACTAAGCTATAGAACTCTGAGCTAAAATATAATCTCAGCATATGCTCCTTCGCTTCAGCCTGGTCGTCACCAAGATTGATGAACGCAGGCGACGCCATCGCGTTGCTGATTGATGCCATCCAGACATAAAAATCGACACTTTTGTTGCCATGCAACAAGTTACGCTGAAATCGCATAGACATCTTGACTTGGTGCGAATTAATTAATCACTAACTAGCACACCAACGATTTACTACTATTGTGAGTTAAGGATTTCACAGCTAGTTAGATACACACTTCGTTTAATAGTAGTATATTATTATGGTGGTGTAAAGACTGGATTGTAACCCTGGGCCCAAATCTATATAGTTGATAATTTGTCAGTCTAATAATTTGGTTCACAGAATTCTAATTATGACAGGTGTCAAAAAAATATAATCTGAAAGTTCGGTACTACGGCACCTAGGGTCCCTAGGCCGACTCTTATATATATATATATATATATATATATATACCTTATGTGGAAATACGTGTGCGCATAAAATCCTTCAGAGCCGTCAGCCCCGCACGACTTGAGCAGGTAGATTAGTTAAACATCTCGATTAACTCTTTGTTGTGAAGAATAGGACCACCATATTATCGACTATCAATTCTGTCATTTCTACAACTTGTATAGTGGGCCAAGTTAAACCTTTGCGATCCAACTTGTCAATATAAATTTGTACATAGTTTACACGAAACATTGCTATTCTCCTTCCATTTAAAGGCAGCATATCCTCATATGATAGTACACTATTTGAAAGCGATGCCTTAGACACAAGCTTGCTGCCATAATGTAGAAGGAGTTTCCACTTGTACATGAGACGCTTTACAATAGCATCTTCAAGTGCGAGTGTCTTCTCTTTTAATTCATCAAACATTGTCGTGTACACCTCACTATTGTGAGTTTCGCCACTATTTTTGCATGCTATATACAGGGCTCATATCATGAGTGTTCGTTGAGTATGTAAATATGCTGGTATGTCCAAATGACCATTGCCACCAGTCATCGATCGAGTCAATAGAAAAGCTCATTTCGATAGGGTCGTTATTTAAGCGACCAGCAAATACATAGTTAACACCATTCACAATAAGTAGATGACGTATGCAGGCTGCTAGCGCACGCAAAGTGTGAGCAAGCGTAAAAAAGGTCTCAGGAGTCAAACCTCTTTGTAGTACTTTCCTCCCCTTTGTCTTCTTCGGCTGAGCAGTAAATGTCGAAGATTCAGTGTTAACATCTGCAGCTGGGGCTTGTCCATTTCCATTTAAGGTCAGTTAGTTCCACTTGAAGAATCAGTGTCGTTCTGTTGCGTTGTAGCTCCATTCACATCATTATCCGAAAAATGCGGCGTTGTAGCGCTCAGCTCATCATTTGAAATATGTTTGAGTGCAATCTAGTAGACTTTAAATAAAGTGCAAATGTATGTATTTATTCCTGACTTCACCTTTGGGTTTTAGGTGTTTGTGCTAGTGTTCAGCTACTTGGGCTGACCAGGGTTAAAACTCATATGGTCAGTATGGGAAACCTTATGCAGAACACTTTAACACTTCGATGCTTTTCTATTTCAACTTCTCTGCAACTAAATCTCACGCTGATCACATGATGCTTTTCCGCATGGGTTGTGACTCACATAGAACCGCAGCTATTATTAGAATGTTGCGGTTGACTGGCTTAATCCACTCTCGGGAATCGGTTGAGAAACTTAATTTGCTCTCGGAAGTCGGTTAAGTAATAACTCAACTCTTGGGGGTAATTTAAGCAACTTGATTAGCTCTCGGGAGTGAGCTAGCTCTGATGACTTAGCTCTCGGGAGTGAGCTAACTCTGATGACAAAGCTCTCGGGAGTGAGCTAACTCTGATGACTTCCATAAATCAGAGATAGTTTGTTGCTGTGAAATATGGCCTGAGACCTGCAGTCTCTCAAAATATCATTGTTGTCCTCGCTGAATATCTAGACATCGTGTATTCCTTCCATCAACTGTTAAATTCCGCGATCTGTTATTGTTAGATTGAAGTATAACTATAAAATCAATAAATATGAGCACATAAACAAATGCCTGATGTACAGAATATTATATATGGTTTTGACAACAGGGCAATACATACATCTGTAGAGTTGTCGTCATCGTCGTCATCAACATATATATACTCGGCTTGCTGTTGAATCGAAATGGTATTAATGAAACCCAAATACCAATCATCCTATTTTGCGATGTCTTATCGGTACAATTCAATCGGATATCTTCCGGGTTGGTAAAAGGTAGGGCTCGTGCGCCACGTTTTCTCTGTCCTTTATTCGTGCTAACAATGAGAAATGGTTGAATCACATATTTGTTAATCCTTTCCCAGAATAAGTATGCACCCTGTTCTACGACTCCAAATTCCTTCCGTAATGCCATACTAAGCTCATCCAAAAACAACAGTGAAGCCGGCACAACCTGCTGTCTTACTAGGTCTCTCGGCCAGACTGTTGTGCGATTGATTCGAATTTTCGAGAACAACGAGTCCTTGTACAAAGTGTAGAGTGCCTTAACTAGAATGAGGCTACATATTCCTTTAGGCAGAACGTAGCCATCGGATAGTTTAAGCTCCGGATAGTCAAATACGTGATTCGCAGCAAATTATTCTAATACACTTTACAATTTGTATACGGTAGAAAAACGCGAACATCTTCTCCCCGTTGAAGACTATGGACATCGGTATTTTTTGTTGAGATCGTGCAGGTGGCACAGGAGTTTAACCGGAAGAACAAAGAGTCTCAAGGCTTTCCTGTTCACAGCACAGCCATCAAATACGACTGACACTGACACATACGATGTGCTTTTACACTTCTCCCGAGATTCAAGTAGATAGGTATGTAATTGTACACTAGTCATCTTTGCCATCGGTCGATTCACGAGATTGACAGACATTTTGCTACCTCCGATGGAAGATAACAAAAATGTTTCAATATGGTTGGCCAGTGGACTCGGATCATATTACGCCGGTCCATAGAAATATGTCTTACAGGTAAATGAATGACTTGGATGGATATTAACTTCGTCAAGATGTAGGGCCATGATTGCTTTTCACATTTGAAACGAATTAACCCCCTTCTTCCCGTCGAAGGTGATCTGTTTTACTTCCTGTTTGATGCGTGTATCGGAAAGTCCGTAGGTATGTGCCAGTGAATACATTCTAATACCGCTGGATGCGCTGATCCAGAAACGGACAAGATGCAGTCGTAAGGCTAGGCATTGCTACTTTCCGATGAAAATATAGCACGCTCGCACAGCAGGAATCTAAAGGGACTGTTAGCACGGATTTGCTTATATAGCCCTGCTGATTTCCCATGTAGAAGCTGTGAACTAAGCCAGTACAAAAGAATTCGGAGGATATCTTCGTTTGAGCCTTCTTGTCTCTAATAAGTCTTCTTGCTCAGCCATATGAAGATAGTAGGCAGTTTTGCTTTTCCCATGTGATTCTGACCAAAAACTGACACGGTCTTTTAAGATAGTGCAGACAGCCTTTGAACTATGCACAGGATCACTTCAGTCCACTGGATCACTTCAGTCCACTGCATCACTTCAGTCCACTGGATCACTTCAGTCCACTGCATCACTTCAGTCCACTGCATCACTTCAGTACACTGCATCACTTGTAGTTTCCTCAATCGACTGAAATCGTTTGATGATTTCAGTATATGCTGTAACTGGCTCCAACTTATTTTCTACAAAATTAATAGTCTATACGTATATTCCTCGATCTTCGTCACTATTGATAGATTTACAGGTGGCTTGCGCGGGCGTATACATATATACATTTACTACACCACGTAATGCACTAGGCGTAAGCCGCACTTGCTGAATGGCGGACATATCCCTTTTCTCCATCAGCAATACACGTGATGCAGTAAAGCATGTTGCATGAATGTTCAAAGTCCACTGCTTGTTCAATCTGGGTAGCTGTTTTTCCAGGTATGCGAAGTCCGTGATAAGGCCATATTCAAATTCTATCCCCTCACTTGTCTGATACAAATTCTCTGTAGTTACCGCTGGTTTCAATGCACGGTCTGCTTTCTGATATATAGATACTAGCTTTATTTTCCTGAATCAGAGTTCGCTAGCTCAGCATCCAGATGGTATAATTCGTTCATAGAGACAAGTAGACTTGCTTTAGATGTTTTTTCATACACTGGTGAACTTGTTTGGCTTAGACGTTTCAAGTATAATGTAAGGCATGCACCGATTACTGGTCTGACTACTCCATCTCTTGAAGTTGCTATTACCGATATATGGAAATGTACTCTACTAACGCGTACGTCGCCATTCCAATACTGAGCCTCCACTTCTGCAGCACTATGGTTGTCTGTAGCCCTAAACTTTCGTGAACAAGCTTCAATATACCTCTCACGTTGCTTATGTTTAGATCTACTTTCGTTTTGGCAATCAACTCTTCTTGCCAGTGTTTGTTTTTGGGTAATCCTTCAGCTTTGGAATACGAAAGAACCCAATCTTTGGTCCCCCCACTTGTTGCCATCGACGTACTCGCATATTGCAACAGCACAGACCACCATACTTTCGAACTAGAACGTAGCTGCTAAGTAGAATGTATCAGCTAAGGACTAAAACAAGCCTCAAGGAGACCTTATTAAAACTTTTAGCATGTTTTTCTACTGTCAGAGTATATCAGAAAAGTGAACACAAAAGCGCGCCAAAAATTTCTTGAAATCCTGGAACCAGAAAATACAATTATTCCGGTATATACCGTACTGTGTTTGGCTTGTCTAATTTAAAAGGCTATGAAAAACCATGGGTATTATCTGATTCATGTTTATATGACAATCTTTAAATGATGCTGACAACAATTGCCTCAATGCATATGCTGGAAAACCCTATAATCCTAACTCAAGTACCTCCGGTATATTTGACTAATTTTGCTTGCTAAACCATTAGCCATACAATAGCTGTAATGTTTGCCCGTTTCCGTATTGGTGTTCCCATGCGTGTGTATTCTCCAGAGGCCTAACAGGCGCACTTACGCCTCCTACCCAATTTAAGATCAATTGATTTATGAGCCGTGGTGGTAGTGGTGACCGGCGTCAAGCCGGAACTCTTCGGGCTATGTGTAGGGTTTTGAAGATTCCAATATTGAACCCCTAAAACCCAAACTTCCTTAAAGCGTTTTATCTCTGGCTTAAGTTATATCTCTGGCATCGCGTCGTCTCTGACCCGCTGGTAAACTTAAAAAGTCAGAGCTAGAACACAGGGCATGCCCAAAAGGGTGGTGCAGAGGCTCTTTAGCTGTTGGTCGCAAAACAAGTCTTTAATTTAACTACCGGGTATCCTTTGCCAGATGCTTTCTCTGTTCCCCTTGTTGTCCTGCAGGTGACGTATTAAGTTTTGGTCGCAAAACTAGCCATTTGTTGGCAACCGTGTCTCCGCTGCCGTATATTTCCTTTTTCTCTTCGTTGTTCTGCAGGAGATGCATTAGCCTTTGAAGACTTCGATCTCGATCCACCTTTGTATCGCAGCCCATCAGCCCTTTCGGTAGGCTCTCTATCCGAAAAACGGGGTATTTTTACAGAATTAATGCTGTCTTCGTCCATGTCGAATGGTCTTGAGCGCTTCGAATTATCTTTCCTGTCTTTGCTGCTGATAGTACATCTGCTTCCGCCTTGTGTTGCGCTGCCTGTATGTGAAGGTCTCAGAGCAGACTGCCTTGTCGCCTTTTCCGTTTGCTGGGCGGCTGCCCCTCTTTCAGTGGTTGTAGTTGGCTCTTTCTGTGTGATCCCAGACTGCTTATTCGCATCATTTCTGTGCGTCGCACGTCTTCGGGAATTTTCATTTCTCGTCACAGGCATAGGAGATGGCCCCAACTTCATGCTCCGTGGGGATTTGCTTCTATCTGATGGGTTGACATGTGTGCGAGATAGCTCCGCGGCCTCATCAGATGATGCTCGGGTGATTTCTCTCTGATCTCTGAACCTTGACTCCTTGGAACCCGCACTTGATGTGATTCTACGGCGGGATGGCATGGCAGTTTGCCATATCTCGTTGTCGGTAGTCCTTGTCTTGCTACGTACAGAAGGTGTGGTGTAAGCCCCTTCAGAGTGGTTATGACTCCCTGGCTGATTCTCTATATTGCGCGGGTCGGATGACGTCAGATCTTTGTCCACATCGGAGATCGTCCTTATTTTGGAGGAACTCGCCGCTTCTGTATCTATACCTGGAGTGACATACGAGCACAAGTAGCCGTTTAGATGCATATAACATAAGCAATCAAGTATCAGCCACGGACTGCGTGCTTAGTAAAATTTAGACTGGGTGTCCATGTTGTCACTACGTGTCTGACGAAACAGGCACCCAGCCACGGACTGCGTGCTTAGTAAAATTTAGACTGGGTGTACATGTTGTCTCTACGTGTCTGACGAAACAGGCACCTATTGCGACAGTAGACAATTGTAATAGGAGCGGTGGTTTAACCTTGTTGGAGACGACTGTGTGCGCATCAACTAAACGCATCCAAGCGTATAGGCGGACATCAAAGCTAGAACGAGCAATATATCAAGACATAAACAGCCAATTTGCTGACAAAGACATATAATTCATACCATCAGAGGCTGAAGTCACCAGCGTTTGCAACTTCAATAGCACAAAGCTGCTCAAGGCACCATCTTCACTGCCTACTCTGTCTTGCAGAGCAGAGACCACCCCAAACCCATAGCTTACGAACATCTCCTCGAGTTTCAAATCGGGATCTTGGAATGCGTGATTGATTGCGTAGAGGACCACCCAGAAGTGGTCGTCGCTACGATTGCCATTCCCAGACACTGTGGTGAGAGTCTGCTGCCAGTCCATTGCATCGAGTGGCAGAACTAGTGTTACTCGCACGTCTATGTCGTCGCGGCAGAAGCAGAATCCATCGTCACTGAGCCCTTTCACGAGCTCTCTGTCGTCCGCCCCCGCGGGGTAGATGGCACAGCTATCCTGGAAGTACTTTCTGATGATCCGCCAACTGTCCAGACAAGGGGTCCGAACTTCGGTCCGGAACATGTAGTGGAGAAATGTTGTACTGAAAAGGTCGCGCACAGTCTTGCTGTGTATGTCAATGGACACTAGCTGCTCGGGAGGCGGTGGCTGTTGTTCGGTGTAGCCGGGAGCGGACTGGAGAGAGCGCCACCAGCTGGAGTACTGCATGAACTTACACACGTGCAAATTATTGTCCAGAAGTAGCATGTTGAAGTCCACATCCTCCCATATGCCCTTGGGCGGATACAGCAACATGCGCTCGACTGTGACCTGCACATTCAGCAACACAACCTTGTATGCAGTCGGGCGAATGGAGAACAAGTGCTTGGGGGTCATCTCCCACCCACTACGCATCATGCCAATGAGTCCATATTCTTCCGACGCGCCACACAGTTCACGTACGGTCTCAGGCACGCCAAACTGTACATCACCGTCAGAGATGTACTTCTGAGTGCACTCCGGCCCCACCTCAGACTTGTCCACCGCATCGCCTTCTCTAAACACTCTTTCCGCCACTTCCATGTAGGAGCTCAGCCTCACGGAGTTTGATTTCGTGCCCCACGACCAACGGCCGTCCTTCTCGTCCAGTGTGTTCTTTCTAATCACCGTAACGTTGTCGTCAATCATCCACACGCGATGTGCTCCGATGGCGTAGGCGAACAACTGAATAAACAATCGCGCATACCCCACGCCCCCTGTACTGGCGTTTGGTGTATGTGCACCTGCTTGCAGCAAAGGATGTTGGGCTGGCAGTCCCTTTAAATCAAGCTTCGCTGGCATGACCAGCACCATCCAACCCGAGGGTAGGTACTGCCAAAATTTGCCATAAGCCGAGTTCTCCCGTTGCTGCACCACCAACACCTGTAATCGCGTCGTGGCGTCGATGTCCCTGCCAAGATGTAGCCCTTGCGCACCTCCGTTTTTCCCGCGGTGAGTGGGGGTGAAGACGATGGGAGGATTCTCCAACAGCAGCTCAATGCGCCCATCTTCGCGTGTGAAGTATCGGCTGATTGTCGCTTCATCTCCCCAGCACTCCACTTCGCTTGGGAAACTGTCCATAAGCCGTGTCACCTCGGCGGGAGCGTCCCGGTGCACCCCTTTCACCCAAAAGTACTTTTCGTAGATGCGTGAGTGCCTGTCCGTTATTGCTCGACACGCGTGCTGTGTCTCGGAGTGTTTGGAAAACTTGATTTGGCTTGCCCATGGGTTGTGGGTGGACTCAGTCGCTGTGGCGTCATTACTGCCCATGCGACTGAGTTGATGGTCGTAGTCAATCAGCTTCTCTTTCGCGGTTTCCTCATCGTCCGCATTGCCATTGGTGTTGAGTGCATTGGTGTTGAGTGTGTTCAACTGCTGCAGCATCAGTGGCCGGATGATGCACTCTCCTCCCTCGTTGCCTGTGGACGCCATTCGCGCTACACGTTTCGCATACTCTGCTCGGTCGTCTGTCCATGTCTCGTCCAGCAGCTTCTTCCTCCGCGCATAGACCATCGCGTGGTACTTTGATTTCCTCATTGACCACTGGCCCTTGCACTTATCCCAGTGGTCATGTCGCTCGCGCAGAGCCGCAAAGTACGGAAGCACATGGTTACCATATTCAGCTGGTACGGATGGGATGGAGTGGAAGATACCTACCTCGAGCAGCAACAGAGAGACAAAGCATTCGTATGATCCTGTTTTCCCTGCTTGCGGTGGAGCCCTTAACAACATGCGCCGCGGTAGAACCTTTTCCTTTTTGTCGGCGAAGTATACTTTCCAGTCGATTTCTTCGGCTGAAAGCTGAGTGTTTGTAGCGGCCACATGATCATAATGGTCTCCCGTGATTGCCAGATTCTTTCGCCCCAACCGATGACATAGCTTGGCTATGGCAGAGGCATTTCTTTCGCTTGATTCTACTTTGACGTAGTCATCCAGCGTAGTTGTGACAAGAAAATCCTCGGCGCGCAGATCTGTGCGATTATTGAACTGCTCTTTTTCCGGTGACCTCAGATACTCATTATATAGACTAGCGGCCTTCTCGAAGATGGGAAAGTTAGTTGCTCGTGTCTCGGCGCCCTTCCATAGCACCAGTGCGTAGGGGAAGCGCTGCTGACCCTTGGACACGAATAGTCGGTCGTGGCCTTGGAAATGGTCAAACGCCAACTGTACATCGCACTCTGTGAAGCATTTGTAGTACACACCCATTGGTAGGTCCACTTCGGGCTGCAACGCCTGCACAAAGTATACGAATCCGCTGTTATCGAATGATGTATCGTTAGGCCACTGAACTACGCCAGAGTCTATAGTGATCACTCCCAGCGGTGTCATGGCCGGATAACGCCACAAGCGTCCGATCTCTTGGTGCATTGTGCTGGTATTGCGTCCTACCCTCAACCGCAGGTCCAGGCAGTTGAAGGAGTGCGGGAAAGTATTTCCCATGCGGGCCTTCTCTGTCACAATCAGCAAGCACGGCATTTTGATATCTTCGTATGTTATAGCGCGATCAGATGCCTTGATCGTGCCCAACGACACCTTCTTCTGCGGCGCAACTTCGACCTTACATTGCATGAAGTACTTGGGGATGTGCGTTGAGATCGTCGCTCCCGTGTCTGTGACAATCAGAAAGGCTGAGGGATCGCCACTCTCTTTGCCTGCGAGGCCCAGAGCTTGCATGGCCGCTACTATAACACTGCCAAGACGTTCGTTGGCTACGGTGTCACGCACGCGCAGAATCTTCATGGACGCTCCACTGTCCTTACCTTCTGCACCAAACGTGTGGGAGAGCAGATCGCCCATCATCTTGTCACTCTCACTGTACCACTGGTCTATGAACCCAAAGGCACTGCGTACTGTATCTGATTCGCGCAGTAACAGATCATCGCGTATTTTGAGACTTAGAGTGTACTCAATGGCTACTTGCGCTGGGTTGTTGTCATGATTAACATCACTGAGTAGCTGCTCGAGCGCGCACGCACACGGTTTATCACTCGTGCACTCCCTGCACGATTCCGGCAGAAGGACCGTAAGATCAGATGCTTTCTTTGACAAGTCATGGAGATATGGCGACGGCGTATATGAATCGTTAGGCTGAAAGCTTTGGAGGTTTTGCTTCAGAAAGACGATGTGGCATCTGAGCCAGTAGTACAGGTGTGCTGCAACTATCTTGTGGTGCTCCTTATACTGCTTCACAGGGTCCATGTTCTCAATCTCAGTTTTCACCTGCTGAAAGTATCCAATATACTTCTTATACACCCATTTCCGCACCACTTCGGTGCGGATAAACTCAACCAGTTTCCAAGAGCACTCATTCATCTCGTCGTCCGTCAGAGTGCACTTTCCCTCCCACACCTCCTTGAATTTCGTCCATTGTTCCGAGTTTTCTATTTCCTGGCGCAGATCGGTTCTGCGCTCGTCCAGGGGGATGTGATACATGCCATCTGGTGTGCCCCCCACCTGCCCCACTTTTCCGTCTATAGTACGGTAGGTAGCTCGCGCGTATATCAAAGCCCCGATGTAGTCCAGCAACATGACATCACCATCCGAGACTGTCGGTTCGGACTCCTCATCACCGTCCGGGTTTTTTGATTGGGACTTCTTGGACTTGCGATTAGCACCTATGCCTTTCGGTTTGAGCTTCTTGAACTCAATGAGCAGGTCATTGAAGAGCGTATCCGGGCGAATTTGGCGGGTGCTGGGAGGGCTGTTTTCCAAATGGAAGACACAGGGGTGGTCGGACACTACTTCATTGCCAGCGCTACCATGACCAATCGGAACTTCTTTTCGTCCAGTGAAACCGAGACGTGACATTACTTCTCCTGAAAATGACACATAGATTAGTTAGTTTCTGACAGACCACGGAGACAAATTCTGCGATTATCTTCATACTAAATCATGCAAAGCCACACATGTGAATACAATATGAAGCCGTAATCGGAGACATTCATATAAATAATCAAAGCACACAAGCAAACGTAAGCTACAACCATAATCGTGATGCGCAAACACCAACAAATGTGATCAGAAGTATCACCTTCAAACGTCAATGTTCCGACTGCGCGAGTCACAGCTTTGTCCCAAACTCTCAGGTAGGTGTAGAGATGGTCGGCCTTGCCTTGTCTATTCATGGCCACTTTAAACTTCACGTCTTTACAATTGAGATGCTCGTTGACCTTCTTGCAGACCCACTCCCTCCACAGCCGTAGTGAGGCAAACCTGTGCGCCTTAAAAGCCGGTCTCTCACCCACAAGTGCCAGATCGATGTTGATTTGAAACCCAGGAAGGCCACGTGCTCCGGGGCCACCCTTATACGTCAGTGTCAGTATCTTGCTCGTGTCTGTGGGCACATAGTGTGACTGCGGTAGACAGAACAGCATTGAGCCGAGTGCTTCATGCAGGCCGCAGTACGACACCTGCTCAGGCGTGTTGTCTCCGCCATACCAAGTGATGACGTTGGTCTCTCTCACTTTGCTGTGCTTGGTCAGACAGTTCAAGGGCGTAGCTGACACCAACAGCTGCAAATAGTTTGGTTGTGTGAGCGCTTGGCCGTTTTTCAGCGTGTCGTTCAAGAATTGGTTGTGATAACCTGTCGACTTGGGATGGTAATGGCACTCGTCAACAATCATTATGTGTAGTGTGGTGGGGTTATCGAATATACTCTGCCGGAAGTCTTCGTAGGCTTTCTCATGCGTTCGCGAACTGAGCCCCACATACACGTTGTGTCCCTTCAAGCTCAGCTGGATACGGTTGTGTGTTTGCTGTAGCAATGTGTTGTATCTTTGCGTAAAAACAAACGTCCGAACGTCACGAAACCACGACACGTCTACAGTCAGCAGCTCCTTGGCCTTCGAAAGCAACCGCTGGGCCACGATTAATTGGTTGGGTTTGAAATAAGATCGTTCGTCGTCGCTGATATTCACAACAGCCATGTCAGCCGGTAGCACCTCAGGAACTGCTCTACACACATTGGTATAGGCATAGATGCACCATACGCCATCCTCCGGTTTGAAAGCATGTACGTTGGTTGAAGTTTGTCTGAAGTACTCCTCGAGACGATCCTTGTCAATCGGTGGCTCAAATGGTATCTGTATCTCCTTGAAGGAGAAGTGCAGTGGTGACTTTGAACCCGTTGAGGATTCTACAACCGCTACCTCGGCATCGTAGAGGTCTTTGTTCGCAAATTCGTAGATCTTGAAGGATGTCAGATCCACTTCAATGTCGTTGTCTTCTATTGATTCTTCTCTGCGCTTCTGAAATATCTTTGCCACGTGTTCTTTTTCTATGAGTCCAATTAAACAATGCCGTGTACCTCCCGTCTTTGCCATCTCCTCATCAGTGGCGTCTCCTGGCATGCGATGAAAGTATAATAGCACACAATTCATCGTGGGGGAATTACCTCCTACTTCCGTACACGACGAACAATCAAACGTCTGTTGCAAAAGCTGCTGGGCTCTGCATGGCTCGCTCAATCTGTCTAAAAGCACTTCGAATACTTTCTCCCACATAATGGTGAGGTCGCCTTTCTTTAACTCAGTCTCCAGCAGATGGCACAGGAGCTTAGCGACATCCTTGATCGCCCAGGAGAGCTTGACCATGGCGGACTCTATTCTGTTTGCTGTGGCTGTATCCGCTAATCGCAATAGATCCAAAAAGTAGTACCCATGGCCATCTTTCACACCCGCTTTCATAGCGGCCTCGGCCGACTCATACAAGGACACCAATACACATTCTTCGAAAGGTGCAGCACACAAAACGCGGAGAGGACAGTGTGATCGCTTTTTTAGTACAGACAGAGAGAGTCAAAAGAGTTCGCAGACATACCTACAGGTATCAGCACACACGCGTGAAGAATGAAATTGCGCAAAGAAAAATGAACAGTGTATATTGGATCACAGATGAATTCATACGATGGCTGCACGTTGATATATATAT